TGGGGGGGGGCAGAGTGGAAGGGTTTCTGGAATGCTGGCCCCACTGGTGGACCGCCTGATGGCCCCTGGGTTTTGGCCACAGTGTGACACAGAGCGTTGGACTGGATGGGCCACTGGCCTGATCCAACATGGTTTCTCTTATGTTCTTATGTCTGGGGCACTGATGTTCTGTCTTCTTGGTGTCTGGGAGGCCACAGTGGGAGCCCTTCTGGAGTTCTGGCCCCACTGATGGGCCAATGGCCTGATTCAACTTGGCTTCTCTTACGTCCTCGTGCCCTCCTCCCGTAGGAATCTGATTGAATTGCCTCCACCCTTGCGCGCCATCCTCGTTGGACCGGGAGCCAGAGGAAATGGTGGAAAGGGGCTCCCTCTCTCCGAGAGTCCCTGCCCACCTCTGTCCTGCAACACAGCGAGTGAGCTGTCTCGAACACTTTGGAGTCATTTCCAAAGCCGCCTTGTTGCCGTTCTCTGGGAAGTGCCTTCCTGCTCCTCTGGGATCAGCCGCTGTTCACTGCAGAGGACTTGTGGCTGTGGGGTTGTGGCGAGCCAGTTTTTCCAAAGGGGGACGCTTGCTGGCACCTTTCTTTACCATTGACCTGTGTTCTCTTGCCATACCAGAAAGAGGGGGGGAATGTCTACAGCAAACAGTAGATCTGGAAACGAAAAGGGGGTCATTTCACAAGGTTGTTTTTTTTAAAAAAAAGAAATTTGGCAGGGGGGGAGTGGTGGTAAAGAGTCCTTTGGTGTAGTGGTTAAGCGCGCGGACTCTAATCTGGGAGAACCGGGTTTGATTCCCCACTCCTCCACTTGCAGCTGCTGGTACGACCTTGGGTCAGTCACAAGTTCTGGCACAGCTGTCCTTGAAAAAGAGCAGTTTCTGTCAGACCTCTCTCAGCCCCACTGACCTCATAGGGTGTCTGTTGTGGGAAGGGAAAAGAAAGGACTTTGAAAAGCCGCTCTGAGACTCCTTTGGGTAGTGAAGGGCGGGGTATAATTCCAATCTCCTCCTCCTCCTCTTGATCAGATGTGAAACGTTCTTTATTCTTGAACAGCGTAATTCATAACTTTGCCTGCAAAAACTTGAGCTCCCGAACCTTTATGGGGTTTAAAAGTAACTGGGTGACCTGTAGGGACTCAGAGGGGAGGACAACATCTCATTCTGGCCCTCCTACCCCACCCCACCCCGCTGGTCCCTGTGGCATCCCTGCAGTGGGCAGAAGGAGGCACGGCCCTCCAACCCCCCCCCCCCGCCAAGGAGGGTTACTGGGGGTCGGTTCCAGGCGCC